TTTTTTTTGGAGAGATTTTCACTGTAGGGCGCGTGCGCTCGCCAGACAGACAGAGAGAGACATAGAGACAGAAAGCGAGAAATCACCCCCCAGGGGGGATGGTCACGCCGCAATCCCTTCTCCTCCATTCTCCTCTCGGGATCTTGGGCACGCACGCACACGCGCCTGGCGTGAGATTTAAGCCACCGGGTCCGAGACGCGAACCGCGGTCGACTACGTGGGAGTCCAGCGACATAGCCATTACGCTAACTGCTGGTTCCCAGCACAGTTTGAACTAACAGCATCTTGCCTTTTCTTCTCCCTCTTTCTAAGAACCGAGGAGCAGACGGCTCAGCAGCCCCTGAAAGGGCAGGCCCCAGCCAGCAATGGAGCAGGTAGGCCCGGCGGGAGGGCAGCGTGGGGCACTCCTGTTCCTGGGCTCCGTCGGAACTGGAGCAGTGTCTAAGTCACCGTGGCAGACTCACGGTGCTCATCCTTAACACAGTGACTGCCTTCTTGTGGGGCTGCCAGGCACAGTTGCCCTCAGCCAGGCCCGCTACGGTGGGGGAGTCACACAGGTCTCCGCGCTGTCACTCTGGTGACCTGAGGGCCGTGGGTGGGACACACCGCCCCCAGAAGGCAGGGTCCTTTCCTCCTCTGACCTGCCCCTCACCGTGCACCGAGCTTTTCGAGACTGTCTGTTGGGTCGGGGCAGAGGGGACCTGGGTTCCCACCGGCCCTCACGGGCCCCAGCCTGGACCGCAGGCCACACGGCTCCATAGGCTGATGCTCATGGGGACGCCCACGCTCTGAGCTCCAGGCCGATGCCCCTAAACCGAGAGGTCTCAGGTCACTGGTTGAGCCCAGTCAGTCTAAAAGGTGTGAGAACAAGGCTGGGGGGCACAGCCTCTCCTGGGGGTACCACCAGACCAGAACCGGTCCCGACCCCAGGCTGACCGGCAGAGCGTGCCTTTGGGAGGGAAAATGGCGTGTGCCCCTTCTCCAGGGACCCTGGTGTGGCCCCTGCTGGCAGGGCAGGCCAGGCCAGGTGCAGCCTCCTTGGGTCCTTGGCTAGAGGCCCCGAGCCAAGAGCAGCAGAGGAGACCCTGAGACCCCCACCCCACCCCATGCTGAGGGCAGTGGCGGGCAGAGCCGTGTGGGCTGGAAGACTCACAGCCCCCGGTCACACAGCATGGCGGCTATGCGGGGAGGCGGGGCCGCAGGGAGGTGGCCCTCAGTGACTCTCCAGGGTTTGTGGGAGGTGGGGACGGCTGCTTGTGCCATGCCCTGGGCCACAGCACGGCAGCACAGAGAGGCCCGGGGTGGGTCTGGGATGAAGCCACGGTAGGTGAACCCTGAGGGCCCGCCGACCGGAGCCACTGTCCTGTTAGCGAGTGAAGCGGCCCCCGGACTCTCGCCTGCAGATGGGCCTCAGGACGCAGCAGCCTGCTCTGTTTGGGCGGCGGGCATGTCCTCTAGACCTAGTGGTCAGCAAACTACAGCCCGTCTCGTCTTTATGAATATATAATTTTTTTGGAGAGGTTTTTGCTATAGGGCATGTGTGCTCTCTGGAAAGACAGAGACAGAGAGAGAGTGAGAAATTCCCCCCCAGGGGGGATGACCACGATGCATTCTCCTCTCGGGATCTTAGGCACACACACATTCGCGCCTGGCATGAGTTTAAGCTACATGGGAGTCTGGTGACAAAGCCATTACGCTAACTGCTGGTCCCATGTGTTTTTATATTTTTAAGAGTTTAATTTTTTTTTAAAGTTTGTTATAGGTGTGTGTGCCTGCTAGCTAGAGAGAAGCAGAGAGGGAGAGAGAGAGAAAGTGAGAAATCACCTTGTGGGGGGATGGCCATGCCACAGTCCTGTCTCCATTCTCCTGGGATTTAGGCACGCATGACAGCCGCTCAGGGGCCACGGGGGATCCAGCTGCCTTATCTTCTCTGCTGTCTGCTGGCCCCATGTTTACAATTTAAAAATGCTCTTTGTGTCTCTGAATGGTTGAAAAAAATCAAAAAGGATTATTTTGTGGCAAACGTTACACGAGTATGCAGCTTCAGCACCCGCAGCCACAGTTCCGAGTGCACAAGTGCCTGTGGACGGATGAGGTCTGCACGCTGGCCCCGCCCACAGCCCCTGGGACCCTGCCAGTCTGGTGCAGAAGGCCCCGGGGAGATTCCCGGTTGACACACGGACGCCTGGGCGTTCAGGTGTGTGCATTCCTGTGATCTGGGGCCGGCACATCGTCGGTGCTGTTTCGTCTCTCCTTGCTCGTGAGATACTCGTGAAAACACTTTAACAAAATAAGAAAATGCACATGCCAGGCATGCATGTGTCTGTGCCCAACATTCCTGTAGGAGAGGGAGGAGGAGAAGGGATTGCAGCGTGACACCCCACGGGAGTTGCCCCTTCCTCCCTCCCTCCCTCTCTCTCTCTCTCTCTCTCTCTCTCTCTCTCTCTCTCGCCAGCGCATGAGCCCTCTGACATTCCAGAAAGAAACCCTTGCAGGCTTCACCGGGGAGGAGCTCTGGCCCAGTAGCCGCCCGGCCCCCACCACCCCTGCCCTGGGGTCGGCTTTCTCTAAGCCTGGGTGGCCTCAGGCACAAATGGGCCAGTGCTGACCATTGACCACTGGCCCCGAGTCCACAGAATGCAAGGATTGGGTGACCGCCTGCCTTCCAGTCCCACTCCTTTAAGTCATGGTAGGAGGGCGCCCCCTGTGGGTGACTTCGCAGCCTGCAGCCTGTGGGCAGGGTCCCCTGTACTATGGTTGTGAGGGGCTCACTTCCTGGACTCTGGGCTAAGTAAGGAGAGTGTAAATCAGCCCTATGAAGGCGCTGGGCCCGCCCCTCCCAGGACACACTCTGGTGGGTCCTCAGGACCCGCAGGATCCGGGGGCCGTGAGGCACCCTGCCTCTTCCAGACAAGCCAGGGATGACCTGGTAACTGCCGCCCAAGCTGGGCTGAGAAGCAGCAGACGGTGCCACGCAGCTCCCAGAGGCCTGGGGCACACAGACTGCGGGAGACCCAGAGCTCCCCCGCCGTGTTTATGGGGCCACTCTGCTGCACTTCCTGTCTAGAGAGCCCCGCAGGCCCGCCTGGACCGTGCACCCTGGCCCTCCCTTGGCCCCGCCGAGTGCCAGCCCCTCACAGGCCATCTTGCCCGCAGACCGGCCCAGCCAGGGACTGTCCTCCCGTGTACAGAAGTGGTTCTACGAGCGGTTTGGGGAGTACGTGGAGGACTTCCGGTTTCAGCCCGAGGAGAGCACCGTGGAGACAGAGGAGCCCCTCAGTGCCCGCAGGTAGGGGACCTTGCGAGTGCGGGGTGGCCAGTTAACTGCCTGTCGGTCCCCATCCCTGCACCGGGAGCCCCGTGCTCAGGCCAGCGTGTGTCGCCCCCGTGGCTGTGAGCCCCGGGGACTGTGTGCCAGCCTGGAGGGAGCGGGGACGTGTCTGGCAGAGGCCTCAGAGCGAGGTGTGGCAGATGCGGCCTGTTCGGGTCGCCTTGGGCCCCGTCGGGAGGTAGCCTCGGGGCCAAGTGAGCACTGCCAGGGCTCTACTCGGCGCACGTGCCCACCGTGGAACACTGGCTCCAGGTCCAGGGGGAGCACGCTGTAGAGGCCTGCTCTCGGGACGTACCTTCTAGGGAGTTGTGGGCAGGGGGCAAGGGACGATTCTGGTGGCGAGACATCCCTACCATCCTAGCTCGGAGCAGCGGCGAGGGCCACTGTGTGCCGTGCTGCCGCGTCACTGCATGAGGTGGCTCCGTGACCGCGGCCTCCTGAGCCTTGGGCGGCCTCCCTGCACCCGCGCACCCGCAGGGCATGGTGACAAGCCGGTGCTGGATGCTCTTCTCTCTCCCCTCTCTTTAGGTTAACGGAGAACATGAGACGGCTGAGTAAGTGCCCGGCAGCTCTGGGTGGCGCCAGGGTGCCCGGCATGGGGCGGCCAGGGAGGGCCTTGGGGGCTGAAATGAACTCTCCAGAAAGCTCCTGCCCACCCTGCTGGGGAGGAGGGTCTGCTGGGAATGTGTCTGAAGACTCCAGGGGGAGAGGGTGGAGCTGCAGGGCCTGGAGCCCAGCATTTGGGTGCCAGGTGATGCCCACTCCTGCCCTAACCGGGAACGTGAGCAAAGCCCAGGCAGGGGCATGGGGAACCTCCCCTGGGATGAGGCAGCACCCAGGGCAGCGTGGGCCTTGGGTCACAGGCGCCACATTGCTCCGGGTCCTGTGCGGCCTTCTGTCACCTCGAGGCTGGAGGTCTGACTGGGACCGGCCATGTGTCAGGAGATGGGCTGGGCCACCTGCCGAGAGGCTGAGCACTTCCCTGTCCTGTCCCAGAGCGCGGTGCCAAGCCGGTCACCAGCTTTGTGAAGAACCTCTCTGCCTTATCTGACTGGCACTCCGTCTACACGTCTGCCATCGCCTTTACCGTAAGTGCTTCTTCAAGGCTGGGTGGCGGGGCCTGCGGTGCCACCCCCGCTGTGCTGTCGTCGGGAGGGTCAGGTCGGAGACACTGGGTGTGGCCCAGGCTGGCGCCTGGTGCCCAGGCCCAGGAGGTGTTCTGGCTGTCTGTGCAGGAGTGCCCTGTGTCCCAGGGCGTGCTCGGTGTGGCTCACCAGTTGTCCGGGTGGCGGGGGCCATGCTCGTCCACCTGCATGGCCCCAGAGCCCTGCCCGGGGAGCACATGTGCAGGGGACTAGGCTCCAAGCCAGCAGGCCTCAGGTGGGCGGCGGAGCAGCTGGGGCTTTGGGTCTAGAGAGCTTGCCCCCTCCCTGCCCAGAGCTGTCCTGTGGCAGGGGAGGACCCCCCACCATCTCTGGTTACTTGGTTCTGACCCGCTGGCATGGCAAAGATGTGGGCTGCTCACGTGTCTGCTCTGGCCTCCAGGCTAGGACCCTAGGCACCCTTCAGAGCGCCCATGGCAGCCCATCCCCGCGGCGGCTCCCAGGTGGCCTCTGCCTAGGAGGGTCCTGCAGGCCGCCCTGGTGCCGTGCGGTTCTTGGCGATCCCTAAAGCCCAGTTTGGTGCCTGCCCTGGGGACTCAGTGCACACCCACAGGGACTGGCGTGGAGGTGGCTCCGCCTGCCTCTGCCCTGGCAGCTGTCCTCCCGCCCACCCTACACTCCCCTTCGCTGTGAGGCCTTGCCGCTGGGTCCCAGAGACCGCGTGTGGTCTGCGCCTGCTGTTGCGAGCCCTGCTCTGAGCCCCGCCATCAGCCCCACCTTGGCCCCTGACTGTGGCTGTGTGGTGTGTCCCTGCCCTCTGGGAGCGACTGGCCTGTGCCCACCTGCAGCACCACACTGCACAGGAGGCCCGGCATGGAGGTGGCCCCGGTGCACGTCACCTGCAGCGCTCAGGCATGGGGGGTCCTGCATGGCACCACTCACGTCCTCTGTCCGACCTTGTCTGGATCTGCTTCTGCAGGACATGCTCCCCACACTGTCCCCTCCGCCCAGCAGCTCCTCCCTGAGGAAAGCCCCCCTCGTCTCACTCAGTGGCAGAGCCCAGGCCTGGGGGGCAGAGCCGCCTAACCGTCGCCCTGGCCCCCTTTGACGCAGGTGTACATGAACGCCGTGTGGCACGGCTGGGCCATCCCCATGTTCCTGTTTCTCGCAATTCTGAGGTTGTCCCTCAATTACCTCATCGCCAGGTAGGTGAGCTGCCACACGTGGCCGCCTTACCCCACGGCGTGGCAGTGCTGAACCTGGGGCTGTGACTGGCAGGCGGCCCTCTGACAGGCTTGGGGCTCCCCCCACCCCGTTTGCTGCAGCCAGCAGGGGGTTTCCCAAAGTTCCTGCGGGCCTTTCCCTGGGTGGCCAGCAGGTGCTGGCTGAGGGGACCCGCCCCCGACTCAGCGGTGGGCAGCAGAGCTACAGAGGTTCAGTTCCTGGAGGGTTCCTGTCGGTCATCTGAGAAGGGTGCTCAGGAGGGGCTGGGACTCGGGAGGAGAGCAGTCTGCAAGGGAACAGCGGGGCACACCTGTGTCCTCCCTGGGCCCCTCTCTGAGGCTGTGGGGGAGTCCTGAGAGCCGGCGCCCTGGCTGTCCTAGCCCAAGGGTCTGCAGGGCCTGCAGCCGGCCCCACGGATACACCTCTGCATCATGCGAGGCTGCAGAGATGCCCCGGTCCCAACCCCGTACCGGCTGTTGGCCTGTTTTCCATCCCTGCCCCTACCCCCGCCCCCACTTGAGGTCACTCACGGAGAGCATTCCTGGCATAACCTGGCCCTGGACCTAGTGGCTGTGGGAGCTGGGTCCCAAGTGGCCAACCATGGTTCGAACCCCAGTCCGTTGCTCATAAACTTGTCAGGTGTGTGTCCACGCTCCACATCCCTGCAGGAGGGACAGACGGAGGAGAGGGCTTGTGGGCGACCACAGCCCTGGAGACTGATCTCTGCCCCTCCACTCCGGCCGAGGCGTGTGGTCTCTGGCAATTAAAGACAGACAATGCTTTCTGCAGAGAATGTTCGGATGCCTTGAAGGGGCCTCAGATCCTGGTCGAGGCGGGATGAGCGCAGGCGCCCGCTGAGCCTCACTGATGCATTTGAGCCCCGCCTGCTTTTAAATGTTCCGTCTCCCCAGGGAGGCTCCAGCAGGGCTGATGGGGCAACCGTGGTGGTGGAGCGGATAGCAGAGGGCCCAGGAGCCCCTCACCTCTGGCGGGCACTGCAGGGCCCTTCCCCAGTTGGCGTGCGCGGCTGGCAGCTCCATGCCACCCTCGCAGCGCTGCTCACAGGTGTCACTGTCACCGTCACCATCGCCGTCTGAGAGTCGCATGGTCCCTTCCATTGCAGGGGCTGGAGGATCCAGTGGAGCATCGTGCCCGAGGTGTCCGAAGCTGTGGTACGTCCTGGAGGGCCAGGGGCTCCCCCGTCCATGGCCACCACGTCAGCCTCACCCCGTGGGCGCTGTGTGCAAGGCCCCATTTGAGGCCAAGTAGACGCCCCCGGAACCCTGATGAGAAGTGGGGAGGAGGAGGCCAGCCACGCCCAGCCTCAAGCCCCAGGGGCCGTGCGCCCTGAGCCCTGCCCCGGCCTGCCTGAACTGACCCTCCCCAGCTGGGATGGGACGTGGCAGGGCTGGGGGCAGGGAGCGGGCCGCTGAGGCTTGCCATCTCCCTGGTGAGTTGACGTGTCCTGCCAGGGCTAGACCCACGTGTGGCCTGCTGCGTGGTTCTGTACAGTCGTCGGCACGCAGCCACCGCACCTGTTAGGCACCACCGTGGCCGCTCTCCTGCTGCAGCTGAGTAGCTGCGACGGGCACAGTGTGGTCTGCAAAGCCAGAAGCCCGTACTCTGGCCCTTCACAGGAGTTTGCTCCAAAGGGAGACTTCGACCATGGGTGGACCCCTGGGGCGTGGCAGAGTGGGGGTCAGGATGCCTCCACGGGCCTCGGCAGACATTCTAGCCCTACTGCGTGCACTACAGGCCGGAGAGGGGAGGGGAGGTCCCTGGCCTCCCTGCCCTGGGTCTTGAGGCCCTTGGGCGGTTGTTATTGAAGGCCTCAGTTTCCCTGCCTGTAAGGGGCCTGTGAGCAGGTCCAAGCTCAGCCTAGCCCCACAGGTGCCTGGGGTGAGGGCACAGCACGGGGGACTGCCGTCCTCGAGCCCAGGCAGGGGTGGCAGGGTGGCCTGCGGGTCCCTGGACTGGGAGGCCTCATGCAGCTTTGTCGTAATTTCCTGAATTGCCACAGTTAAGCTGACCATTCTCTCCCTTTTGACTGAAGGAGCCTCCGAAGGAAGACCTGACCGTATCCGAGAAGTTCCAGCTGGTGCTCGATGTCGCCCAGAAAGCCCAGGTGCTACCGCTGGGCCTGGCTGGAGGCGTCCCCACTGGATGGAGCCCCGGCCAGTGCTGGGTAGTGGAGGGCTGGAACTCCAGGCCTGGCTGTCACTGTCGGCTGATGGCCGGTCCCCACAACCCTAACGGAGTCTGTGCACACAGCGCTCCTGTGAGGCAGAGTGACAGACCCACCTGTCCCCCAGGCCTGGGGGGTGGCCTCAGGGCTGGTCTCCGGAGTCGGGGTGTGAGTGGCCCATGGCCTCAGGGCTGCTCTCTGTCCATGGCCTCGGGTGTCTCCTGTGACTGCAGTTTCCTCTCTCCGCAGAACCTCTTCGGCAAGATGGCCGACATCCTGGAGAAGATCCGGAAGTAAGTGGCAGTGCCTGCCCCACGGCCGGGCGCGCGGCGTGTCCGCCTGCTGAGCCCCTGTCCCTTGCAGCCTGTTCACCTGGGTGCAGCCGGAGATCACGCAGAAGCTGTACGTGGCGCTGTGGGCCGCCTTCCTGGCCTCCTGCTTCTTCCCCTACCGCCTGGTGGGACTGGCCCTCGGTAAGGAGCCGTGCCCAGGACGGCCACAGTGGCGGGACGGGAGGGTCGCATGCCTGCATGGCCAGGCGTTACATCCCCACTGGCCTACTCTCTTCTTTGCAAAACTGCTAACCTCGGGGGAGGGTCCTGCAGGTGGCGTGTTGGTTAAGGCACTGGACTCCCACGTGGCCAACCGCAGTGGGAGTCCCAGACCCAGGGGCTTGAAAATCATGCTGGGCGTGTGTGGGAACATGCCCAAAGTCCCAAGCGGAGAACGGAGAAGGGAATGAGGGTTGGCCGTCCCCCCAGAAGAGGATTTCTCACGTTCCCTCTGTCTTTCTCTCTCTGTGTCTTTGGTGAGCACATGTGCCCTATGACAAAACCTAAAGAAAAGGGGAGGGAGAATGAAACGCTCCCGAGATCTACAGACACAGGGTGTCTCTTACGTCAAGCTCGGTCTCTGCCTCCGAGGCCCCTCGTTTCCTATGGAGTGGGAAGTGTTAGTGGGCCCTAGACCTGGGACCTGGGCTGCTGGCTCTGTTGTCATTGGACCCACCTATCAGATATGACAGGGGACAGTCAGGGAGCCCGAGAGCTGGGTGTGAGATGCAGGGGAGTAGCCGATGGGTTTAGTGACGTGAGGTCGAGGGGCACGTCTCCCTAAGAGATGCTGGTCTCCTGAGCTATTGTCAGGAAGGGTGGGGACAGCTGCTGGTGAGAACCGGGATACATGGGGAGGGGTGGGGGGCCTCCCTTCCGCCGCCCCTTCCCACAGAGTGGGGATCTGGAGTCTGGTAGCTGCACACCGGCACCCGGAACAGGGTCACACACTGTCCTGTCAGGGCAGTTGGGGATCCCATCGCCCCAGTGAGGAGGTTTCCACACATCTGAGAGCAGGAAGGGAGGGGTGCAGAGCCACCGGTGTGGTCAGACCTCGCCCCTCCCACCCACTCAAACCCAGAAGCTCGGCTCGGTGGCAGCGCAGAGGAGTCTGGGAGCCCTGCTGGCACACGGAGCAGGGGTGCCAGGGCCTCCCTCCTGCCTCTGCTGCAGCCCATGCAGGGGCGTTGTCGGGGCAGGGGCTGGGCTGGGTCCTTCTGGGGGCTGCAGCACTGGGCACTCACAGGCCAGCCTCAGATGGGTCCTGGGGTGGGTGTGTCCCTCTCATGTCCCTGTTCCTCGTAGAGATGTCCTTGCCACCCGGCACGGTCCGTGTGGGTAACTCCTTTCTGGCCTCTGTGTGGGTTCCCGCCATGGCGTGGAACACCACATGTGACGCGGGGGGCTGGTTACCGCCAGCGTGGCTACCTGTCTGCCTTCTGCTCCGGGCGCTCCTGGGCAGGGCGTGTGTGGCTCACTCCTGGCCCCAGCGCATGGCACAGACCTAGTTGCTGGACCTAATGGCAGGTGGGCAGCCGGAGGACTGTGGCCAGTTCCCCATTCTGTGGTGGACGCCAGCTGGGACTCGAACCCTCCAGAGCCAGGCTGTCCTTCATGGGCCAGGACAGAGGGAGGCCTGGGTGCTCAGTCCGGTCACCAAATGGTGGTCCCACCTCTGCCCCTCCCACTTCAGCTCCAGGCTGCTCAAATGTATTTCCAGATTCAGGAAGTTGGGACTCCGAGTGCGGAGGTCTGGCTCGGTGTGCACGTGTCTTCTGTGGGCAGCGAACCGCAGAGAGGGCGCCCCCATTCCCATGGCAGGAAAGCACAAGTGTTGCGTGGGGTTCCCCTGGGCCCTGGTTGGCTCGGCCAGCAGGAGACAGGGTGTCCCACGCCTCAGCACCGGGAGGGGCCACCAGCAGGACCCGAGGTCCGAGGGTGCTGGCCCCACTGCCAGGTGACCAGCCTGTGCCCAGGCACGGAAGGGGCAGGAGGAGGCCCAGCTCTCCCAAGGCCTAGTTCTGAGCCGACAGACACCATCAGGGAAAGGGAGTGCCAGGCAGAACGGCGGAGGAGGGGTGGAGGCAGGTGCTTAGGGAAGGTCTTCAGGAGGGCCAGCCACCCTGGGAGAGGTCGGGGGAGATGCTTAGGGAAGGTCTTCAGGAGGGCCAGCCACCCTGGGAGAGGGGGGAGACATGGCTGACGAGTGACTGGCATGGAGGGGCCCCATGCAGGCTTTGAGCAGGGTGGGGATATTTCTGGTGTTAGAGGCAGATCAGGAGTGGCCCGAGGCCAGGGCGGGAGGGCATCCATCGTCTAAACAGGGCACGCCTGCCAAGTTCGAAGACAGATGGGACTGTACCCCTCTCCCCAGGCCTCTACGCGGGCATCAAATTCTTCCTCATCGATTTCGTCTTTAAGCGCTGCCCGAGGCTGCGCTCCAAGTACGACACGCCCTACATCATCTGGAAGAGCCTGCCCACCGACCCCCAGCTCAAGGAGCGCTCTAGTGCCGCCACCGTGTCGCGCAGGGTGAGCGCGGCCTGCCCAGGAGGCGCAAGGCGGGCCCCTCCCGCCGGCCCCCCCCCCGCCGCTCTGCCTGCCTCGGGCTCCTCTGGGAGCGGATGGTTTGGATTTGATGCCACCCACACGGAGTGCCCCTGTCCCGGCACTGCTGCTCATAAGGCTTCACCTACTGGGGCCCACAGGCCGGGGGCGGGATGGGACAGGTGGCCGTGCAGCACAGGGGCTGGCTGGAGACATGCTGGGAGCAGGGTCCCACTGAGCCAGACTGAGGGCAGACAGGCTAAGCCGGGTGAGGAGGCAGCCCTGGGGGTGGGTGCCAGCACCCCTGCCCTCCCTGGGAGTGGACACTGAGGCCACGCAGCACCTGAGGAGGCCCCATGGGCATTGGGCAGTGTCCTAGGGTGTGGACGATTAGGGAGCCCAGGTGTTCTGGGGCCTTTCAGGTAAGTATGGAGATCAAGGAAGGCTTCCTGAAGGTGGAGAAGCTGGAGCCTAGTCCTGGGTGTGTCCTCTGGGAGGGCCCCAGTGACCATTGCTGCCTCTGTCCGTGCTCTGCCCTGGGGGAGCTGGCCCGATGGCCCTGGCCACACAAACGCAGGCATGCCCCGTGGGCGGGGGCAGGCAGCTGGCTCCACTGCATACCAGGGGACGAGGCAGCCTGAGACCAGGCCTCCTGCTTCTTGTGGGCTGTGCAAGAGAGCATAAGGGTGTGGGCCTCAGCCTCCTGGGGTGGGGGCCACCCTGCCCAGGTGCCCGTGCCGGCTCACGGCCCTCCCCGCTCGGTGCGTGTGTGCCTCCGTGTCACGCGGCCCCGCTTTTCCTCCTGTCATGGTCACACGTGTGTCTGCCGTCTCTCCCGGCCAGCCGTCGGGGCCTGACAAGGGACGGGGTCGTGTG